TTTCTTTATAATCAAAAAATAAAGAAATGTAAAGCATTAAATGATACACAAAAGTTGCCGAAATAAATCCGAAAATTAAATATGGTGCAATGAAGATAATTAAAAAAAAAAGAGTCATTCGATATTCATAAGTAACCTTACAAAATTTTAAGATATGTATTTGATTACTTGAAAGAAGTTTCTGATCTGGCCCTGGCTATCGATTTTCAAAATCTCTGTATTTTCCCCTCATAATTCCAATCCCCAACCGACTTTAAATTCCCCACAATTTTGGGAATTCCCCACATGTTGGCAAAGCTGACATGTGTAAATTCCACAGCGTAAGGCGACACGAGCCGGCCGGGTTAGGCATTGTTTTGCACCGAGCTAGATACAGGTCGACAGTGGAGGGAGTGTGGGTACAGTCGCGTTCTAAAGTACCACATGGTACTAGGCTATTGTTTTATAACATTATAATAGGAGTTAATTGTTTTATTATATAATCATAATAGGTACTTTACTAGCTACTTAGAACTTTGGAAAAGGTTGGAATTAAATAATGATTACTTGAGCATTATTTTTTATTTCTATCGTAAAATAATAAAGTAGCTCGTAACTAGAAATTTTAAGCTAAGGGTGACACGCCTTCCATTATACCGTTGGAACATGGAATATGGAAGCCAGATGTCGATGATGTGTTGGTGTTACTGGATGCTACTTCATCATCACTTTCATCTTCGCTTGAGCTTCCGTCATCAGAATCATCATCATCAATGCGAATGATAAATGTTTCCGTTATCAGGTCGACCATATGGTAATTTTTTCGGTATTCTTACTTCTTTACTGCACAGATTTCCCCATTCACCTTCTATTTATCTTTTCGTTCACTAGTTCAGTTATAAAACAATAGATATAAATAATTTTTCTTTCCTTCCTTTTTAAAAACATGGTCGCGAGTCGTGCAAAGTAAGCTGTGTATGCGACTGTATGGAAGCCAACAAAGCGCGGGAAGCATGACAGTAATACTGGCGAGCGTTCCCCCGTCGCGCCCCCTTCGTACCACAAATTTGATTGATAAACCGCTATGTCCAGGTTCAAGGCCACCGTTCCTTTTACGTGACGGGACGTACAAGTGTTCGGCGTCCAAGCGTACATTGACCCCCAAGCAGCTGATTGTAATTCAATAATTCCACTGCTCGTTTTATGTTTAAGTATTTTCATCATATTTTTTTATGAAATTATCGTTTCATTTAGCTGTACTAACATGATGCCGCGTGAATAAAGCTAATGAAACGTTGTGAAAAGATGATTTTTTTTCATCAGGATCGAATTTATTTGTGACCCATGATCAAAGGGATCCTTAGTACTGTCATCTGTCTTCGTTTTCGGGAGCGTTTCAAAAATACCCTGTACATAGAATTATTACGCATGGAATACTAGTACGCGCACCGAAAGTGAAGCAAGTAAAACTAACGCGAAACCGCGTAAGTTGACTCAGCGACGCGTCAGTGCGCAACGTCACGTCTTATGGAGAAGAGCTCGCGAAAAATTGTAAAAATTACCGTTTGTGTTGTATATTGTGTTGTATATTGTCACAACGGTGATGATAAACATAAAAGAATTGATGGTATTACATTTCACATATAAGTTTATACATTTAATTCATTATAAGTACGTAAATTTAAAAAAATACGTACCTAAGCTCTCATAATACAAATGTTGCTAATTGTGGGGAAAAAATCACAATTTTCTTTTAAAAATATTTATCTTCTGTTTGTGTTTAAAACGTTTAATCACAACGCTCTGTGTAAAACTTAAATGTTTATATATAGATACCTACTTCTCTAAGTGTTAACATTATATTAACAATGGGTACCTATTTAAAACTAATACGGAGTGATCAGCTAATCGCGATTCGTTGACGCCATTTTAACGCAACTATTTTATTTTAATTGCTTTGTTTATTGACTAAGGCTACGTTTTAGAGTATAGAATAATTTTTTTTTTATTTACAACATCAAGAGATTATTAATAAAGACGCCTTTACTAACCAGATGTCACTTTACACCTAAACATTAACCAGATGTTACGTTAGATCCAAACATAGCCTATTTTAACCGACTCCCATAAAGAAAGGTTATCAATATATATGTACACTGATTTCTAAGCTTGATCAATTCGTATATACATGCTGAAATGTTAGTGGTTGATGTCCCGCAGCCAAATTATACCGTCTCGATAGTAGAGTCAATTTATTAAATTAAAAAATATTACAATTAAAAAAGGGCTGATTTACAATACCTCACAAGCTAGTCGGGCGTCCAAACTAGTTTATTTCGTATCACTACGCTTAAGAGTTCATGTTATGAACATTTATTAGTAGCCCTTCACTGTGTAGGAAGCGCGTGGTAGTGCGTGCAATAGACTTAACACTACATTACGTCCAGCGAATTTTGACTTTATTTTAGTAATTCGGTATAAGCTAGCCTGCACGCCCTACCTACTTGCGAGATATTGCTATTGGTTTGAGATCGCATTCGAGTTTTGTTTTTCTCGATTTTAATCTGCCATTTTTACATCCTAATAATTTTTATTTTAATAAATCTATTGTACTACTAAGGAAAAATCATTTTACTTCGGGAAAACAACCATTAAAATTTCAGCGTGTATATTGGATCAATCTGTGTGTATATCCTTTCAAATAAAAAAAATCTAAATCAGTTTAGAAATTGTAGAATTCTGAGGTAAAAAACATTAAAAAATACACCGAATTAATAACCTCCTCTCTTATTGAAGTCGGTTAAAATTAAACATTACACGATGTGCTTATTGTGTTCGAGCAAATTAATTGTGCTTAGTAATATTCTTAAATTTTATTACTTCTGCATTTTTGTACCATTAATATATGTATAATAAAGTTATATTAGTACCATCATTATCGTGTTTATTTTATTCCATTTTATATTCTCATAAAATACATCTTCGTACGTAATACTTTACTTTACTTTATTATATCGATTTTTTTAAATTAATCAAAAAAATAGTGATTTGCACAATTTGATTGCAAACGCCAGAAACTGGTATCACTGAATGGCGTGTATGTGTGCGTGTGACGAGCGTAGACACATTCGACTCGCGCCCACTAACATAATGTCCTTGCGTCATTTTAACGCTCGTGTTTTGTACTAGACTGCGTTTCTATGCGTAATAATTCTATGACCCTGTATGTACGTATGTTATTACTTTAAGGCCAATGTCAAACACTTAATAGTATGTCGTCAATCAAACAGTCGTACAGAGTAGAAATTGTCGCAAAAGAACACGTTGCCAACCAATAATTACTGAAAGATTGACTGAATATGCTGTGAATTTTGTGTCATCTTAATGTTTCTTTTTGAATAGTGTGGTGTAGAATGTATGTTAAGGCAAGAAAGGGTACGACTTTCCATTGACGTCAGTGGAGTTTGGTGTTGATACGTATTTTTACAGAAAGATTACACTATTATAAGCACACGCACAAAGTCTCAATATACGGAAACGCGTAATTTTTGAGAAAAGAATAATTGAAAATCAATTATTCTTGCAATGTTTATGTCTAATCTGCTACTAAACTGGCGCCATTTTGTAATGTCATTGTCGACGACCATATGGATGTCGATTCTTTCCGAAAAATATCGATTTTTTAAATAGATTCGAATTGTAAGCTGATGTATCGATTCCCAAAAAATCGATTTCTAAAATATCGATATTTTTTCATGTATGCATTTATAATGTAAATATAAATCCATTTTATGAGAAAAAAATCCCCTTCATCATAAAAAAATAAGGGGACTGATTCATAAGGATTTCTGTATCTATTTTGAGACTGCTACGTCTCCGGCGCTGCGGGAAGAGCAATCCCTACGCCTTAGCGTAACAAATCGCAGGCATCCCTCCTCGCCTCCGCAGCTTCGGCTCGTCCGATGCCTACGATTTGTTACAGCAGGCGGAGGCTGCTCCCCTTACGCGCCTCCGGGCTCTATAAAACCACTCTAGGGGTAGGACAGACTCGTACCAGGTGGAGTCGGGGTCAATCAATTCGGTTCTTTGACATAAGTTGAACCTAACCTATTTTATTTGTTATCTGCCCTAATAGGTACTGTTGAATAAAACAAATTTCAAGAAGAGATCATTTATCATGGTATCTTTCTTGTTTTTCATAAAATGGGTTTATATTTACATTATAAATAGAAACATTAAAAAAATATAGATATTTTAGAAATCGATTTTTTGTGAACCGATACATCAGCTTACGATTTGAATCGATTTAAAAATCGACCTTTTTCGGAAAGAATCGACATCCCTATTGACGTCGACAATGACATTACGAAATGGCGCCAGTTTTTTAGCAGATTAGACATAAACACTGCAAGAATAATTGATTTTCAATTATTCTTTTCTCAAAAATTACGCGTTTCCGTATATTGAGACTTTTTGTGTGTGCTTATAATAGTGTAATCTTTCTGTAAAAATACGTATCAACACCAAAGTCCACTGACGTCAATGGAAAGCTAAGCCTACTAGTTTGTTTTTGATTTTATTAGTTGAATTTATTTTAGGTATTTGTTGAAATGACTTCGTTAAGAAGTTATTTGTTTTACTTGTATAACCTAATTTAACAACACTGAAAAAAATAAAACTGATTCTCTTTACCTAATAATTAATGTAATGTATTCATTCAATGTAATTTTTCAATAAAAATTGTGATCAGAAACAAACAAAATTGTACCTATGTAATAAAATTATAAATAAGTACTATCCACCATTTATACCTTACTTAAGTATGGAACGTAACCATACAATATAACTATTACACGACAAAATATGTAGCGCTCCTGTTTTGTATAAAATTTCGATCTTATTAATTATAGATAACGCTTTTAAACAACATAAATACAAAAATACCGGGACTACAAATGTTTAATAATTATGAAATATTCCAGTCAATTAATTTATTCAACTAAACACACCTTTCCCACCTTCTAGCATATATTAGTGAGCCAATTCGTCTGTGTTAAATTAGAAGCCCTTGAACAAAAAGAGGATATAACGGGTGTTGTTTCTGGAAAAGATAATATTCTAAGCTCCCTTGAAGCGGAAAACTGAAGGGCGGTACTAATTTTAATTCCTGATGAAGTATATCCCGGTGTTTGCGGTTCTCCAGTTATGGGATTAAATGAACTACATTTCGTCTTCGCAAGAATACAGGATGTTACATTTGTATAAAACCGTACATTATCGCTATCCAATGTTATATTTATACCGGTCCTGGCCTCCCGAGTGCATTGAGTGATCTGAAAAAAAATATATTTAATAAAAAAATATACTCTTATTCTGCTTGTTATACTGATTATAAGTTGATTTACCAAATTCATGGAATTAATTCGCCTCAAGCAGCGTGCAAAGTCACAATATCCCACATAACATCCCGATGGCTGCACATTGAGTGACGAAGTTGACAGTGCCTGAAGCAGTTAAATGCAAACGTTATTTAAGAAGCATAATATTTTGAAGAACTCCTAAATTATCGTTACAACAGTCATTCAATATTTCTTTTTAGCATTCTTTTGTTTTCATAAAATGTTTTTGCCCTCTGAAAATCAGTAACGGTCCAGAATGAGGCTGCTGAGTGGTATCGGAAGAAGAGCGATTCCACTCCAAGTCAAAATCATAGACCTACCCTCGATGAAGGTGCTCCCTTATCAGAAACGGCTCCTGGGGTTGCTAGCATTCAGGGTAGAAGTACCAATCTACTAAGAATGTAACTCCTGAGGATAATGTCGCGTCGTCATTAGTGCTGGGGGTAACAAGTACTGCCCCTGGGCCTTGCTTCCAATAAAGCAAAGCAAGAGAGGCGCCCCGGTTGCATCACCACCGGAGAGACATCCGTAAGATTTTAGCCGTTAGGAGTTAAAAAAATTAAAAAAAAGGAGTCTGTTAAGTTGCCCCAGCAATGAAAAGGTATCCATGGGGATTTCCCCTCGTGAAAAACGGACAAATTGCCCGATTGCGCAAGTGATCAGAGGGTCAAATGACGGATCCATCTCGGCTGGTCAACGTTCGGACGATAAAGACACATCTTATCGTCAAGTATTCCACAAAGCCTCAAAACAAGAGTTATGTTTGATTGCAAATGGACCTGAGACGTTATCGTTAACTGCTGGCCGTATAAGGATAGCTTCAGGTTGCTCGGTGACTATGACGTAACGATGCTATTCGTAGTAGAATTAAAGTTCACGACATAGCTCAACGGATCGGACGTTCTGGAATCCAATGGGAATGAAATTACTAAAGTGGCAGCCTCGAGCCGGCAGGCGGAACACTCAACTACATAGATGGGTTGACGACCTAGTAAGAACTGCAGGAAATCGATGGTTAACAGCCGGCTCAGGACAGTGCTTTGTGGTATTACTTAGGGGAAACCGAGCAGCGTACTCATAGAAAATGGTGCCTAGGGCACTCATGAAAGTTGCGCCCCTTCGTAAATTATTTCAATTTAAAAACCAGATACACTAAATATATTAAGCATAGTCATAAATCATACAAAACAAAATATTTATGTTCTACTAGCTGGCCAAGTAGGCGTTGTTCTGCCCTTTCCGACGACCCTTTGTCCTATAAAATTACTTAAAATCGCAAAAAAAAAATTAAAGGTCACTTATCGGTATAAAAATTTGCCTATCTCATAAGTTGCAATACTACCAATACACATTTCACAAAATTTCATTAAAATCAGTTCAATAGTTTAGGAGTTCATCGCGGATAAACAATATGACACGTAATTTTTATAATAAAGATTTTATAGCGAAAGTAAATCCGTAAAACCGTTACACTTACAATTGCACATTCCTGGTCTTCTGCGACACAAACATATTGATGATGTAATGATTTCTTATATTTACGCGAATACTATACATTGAATATACGTCGAGAATTAAAAAAAAATAAACGCGATAATATAGCTCGAAGAACCGATAACCGATGGGGAAAAAAGGTACTCGAGTGGCGGCCTCGTACCGGCGGACAAAGTTTGGGGCGTCATCCCACTAGATAGAGTGACGACCTGGTAAGACATGCAGGAAGTCAATGGATGCAGGTGGCTCAGGCCCGTGCTTTGAGGCATTCCTTGGGGGAGGCCTATGTTCAGCAGTGGACTTGTGAAGGCCTCTAATGGTGATAATGATGATGAAACGCGATAAAATCCTTAAAAATAGTTTTATTCAATATCGATGTTTTCGAAATCAGTTTTTTTCGCTTCTTCTTGCGCTACACTGAGCAAAACTAGGTCGTTCAACCTTTCTTGACTCATTGTAGCCCTCAAATACGAAAGTATAAATTTTTAATTTACTTACGCTCATAATTTACTTGTGTCAGACTATAGGCCAAGGTATCGTCATAAATACAGACTCCCACTGATTCCCGCATAATGCATGATCGGTTAAGAGTGAATCGTGCCATTCATCATGGTGGGCGTTAAAATCGCTAAAGATCACGATCTCTGCGGAGGGGATCTATTGTAGCACGGACTCTTTAGCCATTTTGACGTGGTCGATAAGTCCGTGTCTATCGTCAATACCGCTGTGGGATCTATAAAGGCACCCGTAGACGCGAAAATGGTTATCGCTGTCTACACAGCCACAGCCAAGGGATGGACAGATATCCTCTCTGACGTATACACAAAGCCAAGTTGGCGCAAACTTGGCACTAAACGCCACTCGGTAACGAAACTTAATCTCATTCCAAGTGCACCGCCACCGCGCACTAAGTACTCATTGTCTCTCGCTCCTTAGCGCAGGAATCGCGACCGACATTGTTTGATATGAATTGCTTTATTGTGGTTTATTAATACTTTTAAATTTAAAAATTAGCAATTTTGCGCGCCCCGCTTTGAAAGGAGCTCGGGAAATTTGCCCTATGATACGCGTCTGGGGCGGCCTCAGTTTAGCAGTGGACTTATGAAAGCTTTTTTTTATAGGATAGGGTGACAAACGAGCACACAGTCCACCTGATGGTAAGTGGCCACTGCGACCCATAGACATCTACATCTATGCTCAATAAAGCCTCAAGATGCAGATGCGTTGTCACCCGTGTGGACTAAGATGGAATGCCTCTTTGCCAGTAAAAAGCGTCTCCGGTTCTCTACACTCAACATACGAAACACAGCAGCGTTAAGCTGCTATTTTACGCTGGTTTTCTGTGAGAGCGTGGTCCTTCCCCGGTCGTGCCGACCCATTCGTGCTACAACTATACCACTAATATAGCTGCAGCATGTCTCTACCACGTATTAGATATAGATAAGTGCTGTATTGATGAAATATAATGGTTTAAAGTAGATTTCAATACGAAAAAGTGACATGAGTTATATTTACTGTAATACTCGCCGTGTAGTAGTGGTGTAAGAGATACCGCTACCCCATATCATTCCGAGGGTGTCGTAAGAGGCGACAGACAGAAACTGAAACAGGAGGATTTGGAAGAAAACTCAAAATTATAAAAATATGTGTCTGCCAAGCGGGGCAACTATGGCAACTATCTCCACTGTGAGCTGATCTATGGAGAGGACCATCTAGGGACCTTCAAGAAAAGAGCCTACTCCTTTTTAAAAGGCGGGCAACGCAACGTGTTGCGGTTGTTCATGGGCGACGGTAGTCACTTATCATCAGGTGAGCCGCATGCTGGTTTGCCCCCTCTCCTATATAATAAAAGAGACTTTTGTTCAGTAGTGGAATATCAAATAGGATGTAATGATGATGCTATAATATTTGTCTGTCAATACCTACATAATAGTATATACATTTATGATCTATTCGTCAAAACGATGAAACAAGTGCTGCGAAGATGATATAAATCTCTTGATACCGACTGTCTTCTGAGTTAAGATGTTTTTAAAATCTTCCAAAACTTCGAAATGTGACACATCAACATTTTGTTAAGAATGTTGATATCAAGTTATCAAGATATTCTAAAATTTTCAATCACTTGATAGCGGCACAAATACTAATCATACCAGTTCTAGTACTAGTACATTAGGTATATAACCAAAGAAAGAAAGAAATATTGTAAAAAAAGTCCCTTAAAAAAAAATTAATCAATTTTACCACCAGTTCTGTAGCACAGTTAGCATAAGAAGTACTTGCGAAATATTGAACAGCACAAAGGCTTAACCCGGTCAACTCCTGTGGCCCCTGAAATAAATTTATTTAAAATATATAAAAAAATCACACTTATTCATATGAACAAAACTTAAAGTTAAAAAACGGTTAAAACACGGTACTAATTATGTCGCACCTCAGGCATTGCGGTAACTCTTGAAAAACAACTTATACAACCGTCTCTCAGAGTAACATTAGTGGGTTGCGCTGTACTGCAAACCACGTTAAGTAATTTCTGGAGTTGAGCACTGTCGATAAAAAAAAGCATTAATATGGAAACTATAGATTTTTTATTTATTTGAACCGTTATAGCTACTCACCCCTTAGATGGACATAAAATTGCATTTTTTTGATTTTTCCATTGTAATAATTTATTTTTGACATCACTAAAATCAAATATACCGCCACCCCCAACTCCAATCTGCAAAACTTTTTTTTTTGAGTATATAACTTTTGTGCGATTTCTTATCACCAGTTAAACAATACTAACTCTAACCTCGCTAAAATTAAGTAAGCTTTGGATCTTCCATTGTGAAATGGTATTTTGTACTTTCTCTAAGTCAAAAATAGAACCGTTTATCTCGATCTGTCAAATACTTCCATTATATTATATTATGCATTATGCATTATAATGAATTTAAATATAAATATTATCAGATTATTAACACTTACAAGAAATGTGAGTAAAAAACAGGAATTAAATTTCATTGCAATATATTGGTAGGTACTCCGAATAATCACCCGATTATTGCGGTTGCTATGAAATACTAACTAAAAGTGAAAATAGAAAACGCTGTGCTTAGACATTACAACATATGGGCTGTACCAATACAAATGTACGGATGTTGGAGTAAACTGCTACTTTCACAGATATATAGTGTAAAGTCATTATCCATTTAGACATTTAACTCTCCTTTCATACGCAAACAGTGTGAAGTTGTTACTATTAACGTAACCGTTCAGTGGTAACAAATTTTGTTCACCTACATGTAAAATTATTGTATTTAAAAACGTATTATATTCTACTCCATTCCTCTTTATCGAAATTTGGATGACAGTAGGTAGGTATATTCTTTATAAAAGTGAGATCTCCATGGATAATAGCAGGTAAAGAACTTTCATAGAAACAAAAAGCCGGCAACTGCTACTAACACCTACTAACTGCATGCCCGTTCAATAGGTACCAGTCAACCAATATACACTATTATTCAATAACTAATAGATTCTTCGCCTTATTAAATAAAGTTACGTAATAACGTAATTTTAGCTTTCATGCAGATCAGAGCATCAAGGTCATTGTAGACGGTGCATGGTCCAACTACAAGCCTATTAACGCTGGTGTTCCACAAGGCTGCGTGCTATCACCAACGCTGTTTCTTCTGCATATCAATGATATGCTGCAAACCGGTAGCTAGCATTCATTCCTATGCAGATGACAGCACAGCTCTATACACCGGCCGTGCCAATATTTCTCGGGAAAACGTCGCGAGTACCAGAACAAACTTGTGTCTGAAGTCGAGTCTTTGCTGGACAATGTCTCGGATTGGGGGCAACTAAATCTAGTCGAGTTCGGTCCCCGCCGGCACCAATGAAAGTGTTAATTGCAATTTTAAGTGCTGATTTACAACGTGCTCGGCAGTGAAGGAAAACATTGTGAGGAAACCTGCATGTCTGAGAAATAAGAAAAAATATTTCGAAGACATGTGAAGTTTTCCAACACACATTGGGGAAGCATCATCATCATCATCATCATTATAGCCTTTCATAAGTCCACTGCTGAACATAGGCCTCCCCCAAGGAATGCCACAAAGCACGGTCCTGAGCCACCTGCATTCATCGACTTCCTGCATGTCTTACCAGGTCGTCACTCCATCTCGTGGGGGGTCGCCCTACACTTCGCCTACCGGTACGAGGCTGTCACTCAAGAACCTTTCTTCCCCATCGGTTGTCGGTTCTTCGAGCTATGTCGGTCACTCTGGTTCTACTGCGGATATCCTCATTTCTAAGTTTATCACGCAGAGAAACTCCGAGCATAGCCCTCTCTATAGCTCGCTGAGCGACCTTGAGCTTTCTCATACGGCCAGCTGTGAAGGACCACGTCTCAGATCCGTAAGTCATTTCACACGAACTGGTTGTATAATTTCGTTTTAAGGTTTTAAGAAATGTCTGACGAGAAGATGTGTCGTAGTTTCCCGAACGCTGCCCAGCCGAGTTGAATCCGTCGATTGAACTCTCGGCTGAAGTTGGACTTACCTAGTCGGACTATTTGTCCCAGGTAAACATACTCATCAACAACTTCGAGCTTAGTGCTCCCAACAACTACCGGCATAGGTGTGACACGGATAATGAACATGATCTTTGTTTTGTCCATGTTCATCTTAAGACCTATCCGTTGGGAGACAATATTGAGGTCATTGAGCATAGTGCTTAGATCCTCCAGCGATTCTGCCATAAGGACTATATCGTCGGCAAATCGAAGGTAAGTGATGTACTCGCCATTGATGTTAATACCGTATCCTTTCCAGTCCAGAAGCTTCAAAACGTCTTCCAATGCAGCGGTGAAGAGTTTCGGGGATATAACGTCACCCTGTCTTACACCTCTCTGCAATTGGATAGGTTTCGTACTCTGGTTCTGTACTCGGATAGCCATCGTAGCCCTACTATACAAGCACTTCAACACTTCGATATACCGACAGTCAACTTGGCAACGCTGAAGGGACTGCAGCACCGCCCAAATTTCGACGGAATCAAAGGCTTTCTCATAGTCCACATACGCCAGGCATAGTGGCAAATTGTACTCCTCGGACTTCTGTAAAACTTGCTGAAGGGTATGTATGTGGTCTATGGTGCTAAAGCCTTTTCGGAAACCGGCTTGTTCCGGAGGCTGGAAGTCGTCAAGTCTGCGCGCGAGACGATTCGTAATGACTCTCGAAAACAGCACGTAGACGCGGCTCAGAAGGGAAATCGGTCTGTAGTTCTTCAAGAGAGCGTTGTCACCTTTCTTGAAGAATGAGACCACCGCACTTCTGCTCCACGCCTCCGGTGTATTTGCCACCATGGAGGACAGAATTAAAGAGCTTCTGAAGGACTTCAAGTACAGGTTTTCCACCCGCTTTCAGAAGCTCCGCTGTAATTCCAACCTCGCCTGGGGCCTTGCCGTTTTTAAGATGCTGGAGAGCTATTCTAATTTCGCTCAGACTGACGTCCGGTATATCTTCGGAATAGTGTCGGATAAGACTCGCTCTTGGATCGTTACTCACACTTGCGTGAGGCTCCAACGATGACGTGTACAGCTGCCCATAGAACCTCTCAATCTCACTCAAAATCTCAGGTGCCCCGGAAACGATGCTGCCACACTCGTTCCTCAACTTTGACAGTTGGCTTTTTCTGGCAGACAGATCTCTGGCAACGACTTTGGAGCCTTGGTTCCGCTCGATCGCTTCTTCAATACGAGCTGTTTTGAAGTTGCGTAAGTCCCGCCGCATGCATTTGGAGATCTGTCTGTTCAGTTGCCTGTATGCTGTCAAATCTGTTGAAGAATGTTGCTTCATCTCCCGTCTAACAGCCATGAGATTAAGAGTGTGATCGGAGAGTTTTTGTGTTTTTCTGCGGCGGGTCTTGCAGAACTTAGCTCCGACCGCATGGACAGTTTCCACGAGCTTGTCATTCAAATCGTCCACTTCATTGCAGTCTTCTAGGCACTGAAAACGGTTTTGTAACTCGAGCTGAAAGGTTTCGGGACTTTGGATTAGAGCACGAGGGGGACGGAGCGTTGACTTCATTAGACGAGAACTCTCCAACTTAACATTTAGGTTCAGTGTGCCTCTAACCATTCGGTAATCGCTACCAGTTTTCACCTTCGCGATCACGGAGACATCATTGAACAGTTATCGTCTGGTCGTCATAATGAAGTTAATCTCATTTTTTGTCGAACCGTCGGGGCTCGACCAGGTCCACTTCCTGTGGGGCCGCTTCTGGAAGAAAGAGTTCAACATAAGGAGTCCCTCTTTATCCATGAAGTCGGCCAGCTGTTGGCCCCTTGGGTTCCGTTGCCCTATTCCAAATTTCCCCACTTTCAGCTCACCGTTCTCTCTTATGCCTAGTTTTGCATTGAAGTCTCCCATTAACACCGTATATTGGGTTTTGGAGGAATACATGGCTCTAGAGATATCCTCATACATTTCCTCCACCTCCTGATCGGGGTGTGCCGAGGTTGGTGCGTAAACCTGTATGACCTTCAGCGAATACCGTTTGGTGATTCTGAGTATAAGTTACGCAACCCTCGTCGACACACTCCCGATCTTTACAACGTTGTTAACGAGAGACTTGTGGACGATAAATCCGACACCTCCTTGGGACAGATGGTCGCCCTCCCGGTGATAGAGCAAGTTGCCGGATTCGAGGATTACCGTGTCCTCCCCCTCTCTTCGTACTTCGGATAATCCTATAATATGCCAGCGCAATTTGTCTATCTCTTCTTCCAGCTCCACGATCTTCTCGTCAGTCCTCAGGGTGCGTGCGTTGTACGTTGCCAGGTCGAGTCGTCTAAGGTGGCAACCGAACCTCCACCGGAGATTCTTAGCACCCCCTGCCCCGCCGTTATCATGGTCGCCACCGTAGCCAGGAATAGCGGGGCCACCGGGGACTGGGGGCCGTCTCTTTGTTACGCTCTTTATAGGGGGGTATTTGCCATAGTTGCCACGCTTGGCGAGCGGGTTGGCAACCGCAGTTTTTTTAATTGTAATTTTGGCTACTATCAGGAAGATGCTGCTGCCCATCTCCTGTCGGTTTCCCTTTGTCGTCTTTTACGACACCCACGGGAAGATATGGGGTAGTGGATATTCTTGACCGCCACTACACGGCTACATTGGGAGCGCGATGGACATTTTCTGGCCCTAAAACCCTCTCAGAAATGGGAGGAGGCCTGTGCCCAGCAGTGGAACGTATAATAGGCTGTACTTTAACTTTAATGTATCTATGTCTATTTCTTTGACACGCTCTGTAGCCTAAACAGCTTGATGGATTTTAACAACATAATAAGACGTGTCTTTAGATTCGTCTTAATTATAGGAACATAGGTTATAACTTTTCTCTTTTTAGTAAACTTTTTTACACAGTCGTGTTTGTTAATTACTGCTTTAACCATTTGTTAATTTTACATTTGAAACAATTGACATCATGAAATCAATAATGTTTTTTATTTTAGTTCTATTCCTAATTCAAAACATCACGTTATTGTTTGAATAAAAATCAGACAAATTAGAACCTGAAAATTCGCGCGATTCGAGTTGGTCGTTATTTGTATTTAGTCAAATAGAAGGCTCCATACTAGTGTGTCCCCGCCCGGAAATAGAAACAGAAATAGCTTTTGCCCGCGACATCGTCCGCGTGGAGTTCGATTATATCGCGAACATCTGTGAAAAAGAGTCTGCTGGTACAAGCCACAAGGTCGCGGGAAAAAGCTAGTAAACTACAAAACTTCTTTATACACCGCATTTTTTGCAAATCTATTACTTATTGCTATTACTATTTGTTATGGTCATTGCAAAGCAGACTTTGAGGGGAAACTGTTTTCGTTTGAATTCAAAGGGAAGATCATTCGGGATCAAGGGAATTCTAGGTGCAATTACAGTTTCCCCTTGCGCACATCCAGTTATAATTGTCGCTTTCACTACATTGCGATGTAACGCTTTTACTTTTAGTCTGGTTCCGTTGCACAGTTGAGGAGGTTTTAAATTTCGCAACAACATAACAGGAGCGCAGACAGAGACGCGCAGAATAAGCTTATGATGTGGAAGACCCGATGGTTTCAGTGAATTAAGAAATTCGACAGGCTAGTTAATTGCGTCATCTGTGTTGACCACAGAATCCATTGAAGTGTACACCATTTCTTCTCCCTCAAAAGACGTTAACAGTATATCGTTAATTGCCACGTTAGTATGGCACGTTCACACAACCATTCCATTGGCTTATCGTGGATATGAGTAATATCTGGGTAAATGGATATTAACTCCTGTAATGTAAATACAACTGTGCACAAATTATCTGGGATGGTTATCATTCCATCATTTATCGGGTAATCTCCGTTGCCTATTTCAAGTAAGAGATTCGCAAATCCACCAGCAGACTCTTTTCTTCTAAGTGTAACCGCATATTTTTCGAGAGCTTGAGGATTTTAATTAGAGGTCATAAAGTGGATCTCTTAAGATACGCCTTAACTTCATCTGCTCTAGTTCCTTTTGGCACTGTTCTGGCAAATCTCCAGCCAGCAAAACCGTTACACCACCCATTAACTTCTTGTTTCCTCTTATATCTTGTAGAGTTCTGTTTAAAGTCTCTACGCCACCCTTATGAGCCATAGTTATTTCATCCCACACTGTCATTTTCGTATGTTTTAATACTTCAGCAAAATTACTATGTTTCGATATATTACAAATGGGAGTATCAGCTGTTGTTAAATTGAGTAGTAACTTGAGGTAGCATGAGCAGTTTGTCCACCCTCAAGCAGTGTAGCTGCGATCCCTGAAGAAGCCACAGCCAAAGCAATTCCGCGAGTACTTCAAACTTTTGCTAATATCAATTTTATGAGGAATGTTTTGCCTGTTCCACCGGGAGCATCTGAAAAGAATATTTCACCCTCATTTGATTAAATTTTTGTGTTTATTTGTTTGTAAACTGCTTTTTGTTTGTCATTCAGTGATCCTTCATCATTTTTAATTGTGTTTTCTAATGATGCTAAGTCGTAACTTGTCTCTTTAAGAAACTCTCTATTTTCAAATTGTTGTTCTTTGCTTGGCTGAGGTAACCCATACTCTTTGACCACCCAACGCTAATACGGCATCTTCTATTACCGAAAGGCATTTGTTAAATACCACATCTGTTATGTGCTCTACATCCATAGCTCCCTATCTTTCTAATTGCCTTTTAAAATCTTCAGATAGGTATTATTTGAATTTATCCCAAAGGCTTAAAGGGTCTGATACTTGGCAGAACACTAAAATAATCGTAAAAAGATCCCGAATCATTTGCGGTGATTGGCAAGTGCTGCGTTTTCCATTGCTGCGAACAAATGCTGGTCATCTTCAAGCAAGCCGAGAGCTTTGCACGCTGATTGGAACGTGAATATTCATGACCATCTACAGTTTTTAACGCTTCAAACGAAATTAGGCCCCGGATTTCATGAAGAAGCATGCGAAGATGATAGCATTTTATATTGTTCGGATGCACAGTATAAACCCTGCCCAGAACGTGCTCTTTTTGACCCCTGGCCAACCTTCAACGTTTGCTCTTTGTCCGTTGGAACTTTCTTTTATCCCAAACGTAGTACATAGGTACTTCTAGGTAGAGCAATGTTTTTGCAAAGTTATCCACTTTACACAAATCAAAAAAGGATAGGAATGTGGTTGTTGGAGGACTATTCACTCTTTCACTCAAATTTTGCTCTGCATGCGTCATATTGCCTCTGATGAACTTATATATCTTCCACTTGTGTAGATTTTAACTTCATCCTTCTCATTCTCTAAAGCAAACGATGCCTGGTCTGAGCCTTTATTTACGTATTTACAGACATATTTTATTCATTTCACCGAATTACAATATTCCGCATTTTGTGAGCGTTAAATGTTTTAATAATACTGGATTATAAGGGACTACCCAGCGATTATCTATGATTGTGCCTTTGATATCAACAGAGAACCCGCCGTCATCTAGTAAACGTCCCTTGTACTGCTGCTAATCGTTTTCACCAGTTTGAGTTTCCCTTATGAGAGCCCTGGGGTATCGTTTACTGCACATGTTATCTTTCATACATGGTGACTATCGATTTAAAGTTCCACATGGACCTTGTATCATATTACATTTAACGATTTCGTGAAACTCTGGGTCACGTTTGGGATCCGGTATTTCAGCACAAATAATATTGTTGATTTGATCCGGAGTAATACGTTTTAAAAGAATATGAATATGTGAGACCTTTCTTTTCGCATTCCGTTGAGTACATATAGCATCGCACTTCACCAAATATTTTGCCCTTAGTCAATAAGTTCATGATCTTTTTCACCTTTAGTCGAAACACCCACGAAATTATATCGTGTCTATCATGAGATTGTTGTCCTTGAAGCAATTGCTCTTTTATTTCGCCTTAGCGAGGATTGCATGTGAAAGTGATAAAAAGATCAGGCTGGCCGTAATTCCTAACATACGTCATAGCGTCCTGTGATCTTTCGTGCATATACCTAGGTCCCCCCGTAAAAGATGCTGGAAGGACAACCATTTGTCCTAGTTGGTTGGCTTCTGCGTATTGTCGTCCAATAGCATCTTTTAAATATTTCTATTTTGGCGTATTCATCTACCAAATATTGACTTAAAAGGGCACGATGGTTGACTAAATAGTTATCTTCTCCTTCTTTAATCATTATTCTATACGAATAGAAACATGCAGAAGAGACAGTTTTATTAAGCGGCAACTTAGTTGTGGGATCGCGTTGTGATATGTTGATTGAATATCTATCATCCCCCCAGCAAAACATTCATGGATACTGTAGCGCATCATATGCTCTGAAGTGAATTACTTCGGCTCTCGAGGATGATGTCCCTTCGATCAAATTGATAATCCACTAAGACTAAGGCCACTGCATTTGTAGTTGATGTCTTGTACCTAGAGGTATTCTACATAGAGGTACTATGTTCTTCTGGTGGTTTTTTATCAGCATGTATGACAACTTTGTATGACTCTGAAGGAGGGGCTTTATCAATGGCACTTTTCAGATCTTTTATATACGGGTTCACTTCTTCTTCCTAGCGTTTATCCCGGTTGCTCATCCCGCCCAGCGCGGGAGAACCCAGGGTCCGCTTTCCAACACTTCCTCCTCCACTTTGCCCGGTCTTCGGCGTCCCTCACAACTAGTCCATTGGCGCGCATGTCATCCTGCACGACATCAAGCCAGCGTTTCTTGGGCCGTCCTCTACTCCTGGTACCAGGTAAGGTCATGTCCAGGCATTTGTTTCCCACGTAGCTTGCTGATCGTCGTAAGACGTGGCCGTACCAGCGGAGGCGACTTTCCTGCAGCTTGTCAGCAATGTCACGGACATGGAGGCTGCCGCGGATGTATGTATTCCGTACACGGTCTTTCCGCGTGACGCCACACATCCACCGCAACATGTTCATCTCAGTGACATGCAACAACTGCCGGGGTCGCTCCAGCACCGGCCACGCCTCACTGCCGTACGTAAGGACAGGCCTTATGATGGTCTTATAGACCTGTCCCTTCAGCTTGACCGGCATTTTGGGGTCACAAATGACACCCGTCACCTCGCGCCATTTCGCCCAAGCCGCTGATATACGGGCCTTGATGTCGCGATCGATGTCACCGGACGCATCAAGCACAGATCCTGAAGTTGTCCGTGCGCTCGACGGTGTCGTCGCCTATACGGAGAGACGTCAGATCTGTGCTGTTGCAGGCCATATACTCCGTCTTCGCCACGTTTAGCTTCAGCCCGCCGTTCTCAAGCGCCTCCCTCCATGCGTGCACGCGTCTGGTGAGCCGTCCTTTGTCCCCATCTACCAGTGCGATATCATCAGCGTACATAAGCAGCCAAAGCTGCGGTAGTTTCTGTACGCTGGCTGACAGTTCGTCTAATATCACACTGAAGAGATAGGGGCTTAAGACGGAGCCCTGATGCACGCCTATGGTTATAGGGAAGGGGTTGGTATCACCAACAGCGGTCCTGGCTATTGAATCGGAGTTGCGGTACATGTCACGTACGATTTCCACGTAGGTCTCTGGTACCAACTTCGACCGCAACGCCCACCAGATCATCTCCCTAGGAACATAGTCAAAGGCCTTCTGCAGGTCTAGGAATAAAAAATGCAGAGGCATATTCTTTTCCCTGTGCTTCTCCATGAGGATCCTTAGGGCAAATATAGGGTCCATGGTACCGCGTCCTGGTTGGAAACCGTACTGGAAGTCCGACACTGTACACTCCTGTCGGATCCTGGTGTCAATAATGCGCTCGAAGAGCTTCATGGTGTGTGACATCACCTTTATACCGCGGTAATTACCGCAATCCTGAACGGACCCTTTACCCTTGTGGACCGGCGTTATTATACTAAGCCACCACTGATCGGGCATTATTCGGTCGCTCAGGATTCAATTATAAAGGTTAGTAAGAATGCACACACCACGAGCCCCCAGCGCTTTCCACGCTTCAATTGGCACCTCGTCCGGTCCGACAGCTTTCCGATTCTCCATGTGACGAAGAGATGCGAGGACCTCGTCGGGTGTAATCGGTGGCACGAGTCCATGGTTCGGGAGTTGTTCGGGAGGGTGCACTTCCCGGTGCTGAGTATTCAGCAAAACGTGGAAATAAGAGCGCCATCTCTCCTTCACCGCACGATCATCGTACAGGAGCTCACCATTAGGGCCGTTGACGCTGCAGCAGCGAGTAATATCTTGCGCTGCTTTGGCCCTATAGCGCGCCAGTTTATATATGAGCTTGCCCCTCAGGAGTGTCCAACTTAGCATATAATGGTTGCAAGTGGTCACGCCTGGCTCTGGCTACAGCTTTCTTGGCAGCTCTTTTCGCTGTCTTGTAAGATGCGCGATCTTCAGGAGATTTGGTCACTTGCCACGTCTTGAAGAGCGCTTTTTTCTCCCGTAATGAACCCTGGACTGTGGCGTCCCACCACCAGGTCTCCTTGTCGATTTTGCGGCCCCCTTTCGCCACGCCGAGAACTTGCTTTGCCGTCTTTGTGATTGCTGTCTGAATGGTTTTCCAGCAATCTTGGACGGACTTGCCTGCTGTGTCGAGACTAATATCCCCAGCGGCAGAGTCAAACTCTGAGTATCTGGTTTGATCCAGCAGCCACCACTTGATTTGACGGCGGCAACGTTCGGCGTGACTGCGACGGGGTTTTACGCAGAGGTCCATGACAAGAAGTCGGTGTTGGGCAGTGAGACACTCACCGGGTATGACCTTACAGTTGACCACGCGACTGATATGACTTCTCCTGGTCAGTAGCTAGTCGATTTGAGTGGCGTTCCGACCGCTCCTGTAGGTAATCAGGTGCTCGGTTTTCTTTTTGAAGAATGTGTTCACCACGGCCAGGTCAGCTGCAGTGCAGGTTCTGAGAATGGTTTCCCCCTCTGCGTTTCTTCGGCCATAACCATAGCCGCCGTGGACACGTTCATACTCCCCCTGCACCTCGCCCACATGACCGTTCAGGTCGCCACCCAAAACGACATCGTGGTACAACGGTATGCCGCGTAGTACATCTCCGAGCCGATCTCAAAACAGCGTTTATCCGCGTCGCTGCAGCCGACCTGTGGGGCGTAGACACTTATTAAGTGGGGCATGACCCCCTCAATAAGCAACCTTACTACCATAAGTCGGTCGCATATCCGTCTAACTTCCAAGACGCTATCGTGGAAATGCTCGGCGAGCACCACTGCCACACCGTTCTCTCCACCAGAGGAGCCTGTATAGATCAGCTTGTAGCCGTGCCCAATATTCCGGCTCCTGTTGGCCTTCCACCGTGTCTCCTGCAGGAATGCCACTGCCACTTTACGCCTGGCAAGTATGGCCGCAAGTTCTGCGGAGCGTCCCGTAAGCGTGCCAATGTTCCAGTTTGCAAAGCGAATCTTCGTAGTTGGTGCTAACGTATTTAGCCGGGCTCGCACAGGGCCCGGTAGCCCTCGCATACTTGTCGCAGGGTTAAAGCGATCCCCACGCGCGTCGTTATGCGGCGACGCCCTAGTCCTAAACGTATTTATCTTTCTTTTACCGTCCATTTTTGAGTGGCTTAGTGCCAATTACCAGGGCGACTGCCGTCTGACCCCCGAACCCCTAGGACGAATCCCAGAGGAGTAGCATCGCCAGAGCCCTTTCCGTTGTCCAGCAGGTACGCCACGTGCAGGCGGGGTTGGCTTGGGCTCCAAGATCTTAGCGGAGCCCCTTACACCCAAACGGGTTACGGGTTCACTTGATGCAGCATATTCTGCAATTGTTTGATGAAATTTGGCTTTAAGTTATGAAATTTAGAACATCGAATCTTTGCTTCTCGATCATCTTTACCTACAAAATATATTGTACTTTAAAATTCGGTGAAACACCATTTGCTTTTACCTGTTTACCACCAAAGGAAGTCATCTGCAAACAGGCATTATATTTACCCATAAAATGGTCATGATTTGGGTGTAGATCATTAATCAAACTAAAGAGTGGTTCAGGCAGTTGTTTCAACCGATCAAGTTGCACTTTTTCAGTGCTGCAACACATACCAGGTGCCTCATCCTTCCATTTCAGCGCATTGCACCAATGACACTTGTATGTCACAGAATCCAAGGCTACACTGCTCTCAGTTCTATAAGCAATATCAGGGCCATACTCCATAGCGGAATGGACACACGCGCACGCGTACGCGCACGCGCACACACACACACACACACACACACACACACACACACACACACACACACACAAACAAACACACAAACACACACACACGCACACACGCACGCACGCACGCACGCACGCAAGCACGCACGCACGCACGCATGCACGCACACACGCACGCTCGCACGCACGCACGAACGCACGCACGCATGCACGCAAGCACGCACGCACGCACGCACGCACGCATGCCCGTCCGCCCGCACGCACGCACGCACAAAAGCACGCACGAAAGCACGCACGCACGAACGCACGCACGCACGCACGCACGCACGCACGTGCGTAGGTAATGATAATAATCGCCGCTGTAATAATATTCCGTCGCCGAAGTATCAGGCATACGTCAGTACGACGACTAGTCGTTCAAAGAAGTGCCTGTGTGATAATATTGTGCACCAGCACTTATATAAGTGTGCAGACTTTAATAAAATGACACCGCTCGAACGGTTTAAATGCGTGAAGAGTAACAATGCATGTGTGAATTGTCTCAGCTTAAGCCATCGAACTTTAGTTGTCGAGTTTGTAAATTTAGACATCATACATTGTTGCACATCCAGCGTGGAAGCGATAATTCTTCCTCTGAGATACCTCAGCCTCAGCCTCAGCAAGCTGTGCTTAAGTCTGCAGCTCCCGCGCCCTTAGAGCCCGCATACTCGCCACCTCTCATCTCGGGTGCGAGTTCGGACGTCGCGCTGTGTACTTCGTTCACGAATGTTTCCCAACATTCACCGCCTCCCGTGTGCGCAAGTCGTTCGCAGTCGACTGTTTTATTATCAACCGCACAAGTCTTTGCATACGACGCTAAGGGAGAGAAACAATTAATTCGCATATTATTAGACTCCGCGTCTCAAAGACATTTTATAACTAAGGAATGCTGTCATCGTTTAGGCATCCAACAACACGATACCGAACGTACTGTAGTAAAGGGATTCGGTGGAGTAGAAAAAATCGTTAAATCAAAATCGATCAATGTTAAAATTTTCTCACGTTTCGACTCTAATATTAACTTCAATATATCACCGCTCATTGTTGATGAAATCACCGATCGTATGCCCACCGCTGTGGTAGACAAATCAGTCTTAGCACAATTTAATGACATAATAATAATTTAATTTAATGACATAATTTTTACGTGGTAGAGCCATGCTGCAGCTGTATTAGTAGTATAGTTGTGGCACGAATGGGTCGGCTCGACCGAGGTAGGACCATGCTCTCACAGAATACCAGCGTAAAATAGCAGCTTAACATAGCTGTGTTTCGTATGGTGAGTGTAGAGAACCGGAGACCCTTTTTACTGGAAAAGAGGCATTCCATATTAGTCCTCACGGGTGACAAAGCATCTGCATTTTGATTCGCAAACGAGGATTACTTATTATAATCATAAGAAACCCTAAAACTCCTGCTTTATAAACATGCCACTTAGGCGGAGTCCACCACATATAGCAACCTCAATGGAACCCAGGGAACCACAATATCATGGTGGCTCCGAACCCAACATTTCTACCTATAAAGAAGATTCTGATCTAGGAGATTTCTCCACTAACATGAGTACGCGTGTTACTAAACGTAAACATGATCAAGACTTCAAAGAGGAACTACAGGCATTTAAAGAGAAGATATCCTTAGCACCCTGAACTCTTGGAAGGATTCTCAAGAAAATAAGATGGAGACAATTCTTAAGACTATAAACGAGCTTCGTAACGAATATAAAGAACTACACACAAGCGTACAATTTATGAGCAGTAAATATGATGAGGTAAGGGAGAAAATTGCTGTACTAGATAAAGAAAAACGAGAACAACTAAAATATATTCGCGACCTCGAAAATAAGATAGAATCCATGGAAAGAACTCAAAAATGTTCCACTATAGAAATTCGGAATATACCAAAACTACAAAAGACGGAAACAGCGGACGATTTAATTAACATAGTCCAAAATATTGGTAATTTATTAAATGTAGAAGTACAAAAGCAAGGGATAAGAGATATATTTAGGGTAAATATTAAGGCAGATAACTATAAGCCTATAATTGTCGAGTTCACCAACAAAATATCAAAGGATAAAGTGATCTCAGCAGTAAAATCATTTAATAAGGAAAACGCAAATAATAAATTGAATACTACCCACTTAAAAATTAATCAGTCTCGTACACCAATATATGTAACCGAAACCTTGACAGCGAACGCTAGAAAGCTGTTTTACGTGAGTAGAGAATTTGCAAAGGAACATAAATACACGTTCTGCTGGGTTTCGTTTGGACGCATATACTTAAGAAAAGAAGAAGGTATGAAAAAATTCGTATTGATTGCGAAGCTGATCTGCAAAAACTCAGAGAAAAATTACTATTAGTCTTAATATTTTGCATGCTTAAGTTAATATTTACAGTAGAAAGTAAGTTTAATTTTATAAAATTTAGTAATACTATATTCTATCTTTTCACAGGCCGGTTACTACATTTTGAAAAGAAAAATTATTTTCTTATGTACACTATAACAAAATACTACTACAACTACCACCACTACACACCACACAATGTTACACATCTTTTTATATATATCTCACTAAAATATATAATCTATAAACATT